TAAATGAGGCCAAAGCAACAAGTAATGGAATAGCATAGTGGCAACGGGAGACGAGTTGGAAGGGATAAATGTTCTGCTGCTTTCTGAGCTCATGAATCCAGTTGATTCACTGGAATATCCAGATTATACCAACAATTTTTGGAATACATCTCCAATGAGAAACAAGTATCTGGAAAGCCTTGCACTGATACACAAAGGGAAAGGTTTTCCCCTGACTTTAATTCCAGTTGTGTCCAACTCTGGGGGTTGGTGCTCATCTCCATTTTTAAGATGAATAGCCAGCATTGTCCGTAGACACCTACAAGGTCATGTGGCCGGCATGACTTCATGGAGTGCCATTACCTTCCCGCTGGAGCGGTACCTATTGATCTACTCACATTTGCATGTTTTCGAACTGTTAGGTTGGCAGAAACTGAGTCTAACAGCAGGAGCTCACCTCGCTCCCCGGATTTGAACCTGCGTCCTTTCGGTCAGCAAGTTCAGCAGCTCAGCGGTTTAACCCACTGCGCCACTGGAGGGTCCTGATACACAACACCAGGGTTCAAAAAATAAGACCAAGAGCATGAAACAATAAACTCATTCAGGAGATGAGACTAACACAATGTGCGGCAGGAATAGTTAGTAAACATTACTGACTTAGGCAATCCCTCGTTGTCTGAGTAGGATTGTCTTCCAAGATAGGTGCCCTGGCGGTGAGTCCGTAGGTGACTGTGGAGCCCTATTCTTGACCTGCATGTTCTTTTAACAATCCAATCAAAACATATTTTTGAAAACATACCACATATTAAAAACTAAACAGCACATCTATTGAACATCCCAACCATGCAAAGACTGAAGTTCTGTTTAAATAAAAGTGCATCTGCACTGCAGAGTTAATGCAGTTTGATACTACGTTCACTGCCATAGCTCAATGCTGTGGAATCCTGGAAGTTGTAGTTTGGCTACTCTTTGGCTGTTCAGGTTTCCTTCATGATAGATGATGGGACAGCGTTCTTCATCGAGGACAAGCAACTACCTTCTCCAACAACGTGCTGCCTCCCAACATTTGCTGTCTGAAGAGTCAGACTCATTCTCCTTAGAGTACAATCTGCAACAAAGAAATCGAGACTGATATTTTCAAAGTAAATGCCTCCCTTCCAAGTATAGAAGGTAAACAGCAATATAGCCATTGAGCGTTCCTTATCCGGAAATCTGAAATACTCCAAAATCCAAAAGTCCATGATCAGGACACCTTTGTTTTCTGATGGGTCAATGTGCATTAACTTTCCTTCATGCACAAAATTATTACAAAATATTGTATACAATCATCTTTAGGTTATGTTTAGGGAGTATATTTGAAGCATAAATTGATTTTGTGTTTAGAGTTGGGTCCCATCTCCAGTATTCTGTACATTATGTGTACATATCTATATAAATAAAAATGTAATGTTCATTTGTGGGATTAACAGAACTCAAAAACCACTGGCCAAATTGACACCAAATTTGGACACAAGACCCCTAACAACCCAATGTATGTCCTTCACTCAAAAAAAATTGATTTTGGCATTTGGGAGTTGTAGTTGCTGGGATTTATGGTTCACCTACAATCAAAGAGCATTCTGAACCCCACCAATCATGCAGCTGAACCAAACTTGGCATACAGTTCTCCCATGACCAACAGAAAATATTGGGAGGGTTTCGTGGGCAGTGTCCTTTGGTTTTGGAGTTGTAGTTCACCTACATCCACAGATCACTGTGGACTCAAACAATGATGGATCTGGACCAAACTCTACATGAATACTCAATATGCCCAAATGTGAACATTGGTGTAGTTTGGGGAAAACAGAATCTTGACATTTGGGAGTTGTAGTTGCTGGGATTTATAGTTCACCTACAATCACAGAGTATTCTGAACCCCATCAACGATAGAATTGGGCCAAACCTCCCACACAGAACAGCCATGTGGGCCACAGCAACGCGTGGTATATAAATACAGGTATTCCGAAATCCCAAAGACTTCTGCTCCCAAGCATTTGGATAAGGGACACTCAACCTGCATAATATTGATCTGAGATTTGGAAAACCCAGGTACTCGTTCTCACTGTGGGTTCTTTCCCATGACATAATTCCACATTAACTGCCTTGGTAGCATGTTATGGATTCCTGGGAGTTATAGTTTAGTAGCTACAAATTTTAAAGTCTCTCTCCATAAATCCCAAGACTCCATAGGAAATTGTTATGGCAGTTAAAGTAGAATATAGTGCTTTAATTGAGTACAATCATAGAATTGGAAGAGATTCCCAATCCATCCGCTGTCCATCCGCTTCGAGAATGCAGGAAGAATGTGTTGTTGAAGGCTTTCATAGCCAGAATGACTGGGTTGCTGTGAGTTTTCTGGGCTGTATGGCCATGTTCCAGGAGCATTCTCTCCTGACGTTTCACCCACATCTATGGCAGGCATCCTCAGAGATTGAGGGGACTGTTGGAAACTAAGGAAGTGGGGTTTATATACCTGTGGAATGTCAAGAGTGGGAGAAAGAACTCTTGTCTGCTTGAGGTAAGTGTGAATGTTGCAAATGGCCACCTTGATTAGCATTTAACGGCCTTGCAGCTTCAAACCCTTTGCTGGGAGGTGTTAGCTGGCCCTGATTGTTTCATGTCTGAAATTCCCCTGGTTTCTTAGTGTTGCTCTTTATTTACTGTCCTGATTTCTAATCTGGCTACCAGTATTTTAAAAAACTCTCAAACATGTATGTTTGGCATCAAATTGCTGCCTTTTGTAAGGCCACCTTGAGTCCCTCTATGTTGAGAAAGGAGGGGTACAAATATAGTAAATAAATAAATAAAATCAGGACAGTAAATAAAGAGCATTGCAGTTTCAAAGCCTGACTGCGTGGCTGCCTGGGGGGGGGGGGGTCATTCGCTGGGAGGTGTTAGCTGGCCCTGATTGATTATTGTCTGGAATTCCTATTTTTTGTCCATCCACTGGTGTGAAAGGAGTCCTTGAGTGACCTTGGATGGGTCGGTCATTTTTCTTGAACCCAATCTATGTGGGATGAGAAGAGTCTTGTGGATTCCTTTCAAGTCACTTCAGGAAGGGAGGTATTTAATTGTAATTAATTTTAAAAAATCAATTAATCCAGCAAATTAGTCTATGGGAGCCAGTTTGGGTAATAGTAGGGTGGGATACGCAGCCACTGTAGAAATAGTCCCAGCAACCAAGTTGTTGTGAGTTTTCCAGGCTGCATGGCCATGTTCCAGAAGCATTCTCTCCTGACGTTTCACCTGCATCCATGGCAGGCATCCTCAGAGGTTGTGAGGTGGGTTGGAAACTAGGAAAATTGGGTTTATATATCTGTGGAATAATGTCCAGGGTGGGAGAAAGAACTCTTGTCTGTTTGAGGTAGGTGTGAATGTTGCAAATAGCCACCTTGATTAGCATTTAATGCCCTTGCAGGTTAAAAGCTGGCTGGTTGCTGCCTGGGATCCTTCGTTGGGATATATCAGCTGGCCTTGATTGTTTCCTGTCATGTTCCAGAAGCTTTCTCTCCTGATGTTTCACCTGCATCTGTGGCAGGCACCCTCAGCGATTGTGAGGTGGGTTGGAAACTAGGAAAATGGGTTTATATATCTGTGGAATAATGTCCAGGATGGGAGAAAGAACTCTTCTCTGTTTGAGGTAGGTGTGAATGTTGCAGATAGCCACCTTGATTAGCATTTAATGCCCTTGCAGGTTAAAAGCTGGCTGGTTGCTGCCTGGGATCCTTTGTTGGGAGATGTCAGCATGACAGTCTCCTGTCGTGTTCCAGAAGGTTTCTCTCCTGACGTTTCGCCTGCATCCGTGGCAGGCATCCTCAGAGATTTTGAGGTGGGTTGGAAACTAGGAAAATTGGCCACCTTGATTTGCATTTAATGGCCTAGCAGTTTCAAGATCGGGCGGTTTATATATCTGTGGAATAAGGTCCAGGGTGGGAGAAAGAACTCTTGTCTGTTTGAGGTAGGTGTGAATGTTGCAAATAGCCACCTTGATTAGCATTTAATGCCCTTGCAGGTTAAAAGCTGGCTGGTTGCTGCCTGGGATCCTTCGTTGGGAGATATCAGCTGGCCTTGATTGTTTCCTGTCATGTTCCAGAAGCTTTCCCTCCTGACATTTCACCTGTATCTATGGCAGGCATCCTCATAGATTGTGAGGTGGGTTGGAAACTAGGAAAATGTGGTTTATATATCTGTGGAATAATGTCCAGGGTAGGAGAAAGGACTCTTGTCTGTTTGAGGTAGGTGTGAATGTTGCAAATAYCCASCTTGATTAGCARTTAATGCCCTTGCAGCTTCAAAGCCTGGCTGGTTGCTGATTAGCATTTAATGCCCTTGCAGCTTCAAAGCCTGGCTGGTTTCTGCCTGGGGAAATCCTTTGTTGGGAGATGTCAGCTGGCCTTGATTGTTTCCTGTCATGTTCCAGAAGCTTTCTCTCCTGACGTTTCGCCTGCATCCATGGCAGGCATCCTCAGAGATTGTGAGGTGGGTTGGAAACTAGGAAAATTGGCCACCTTGATTTGCATTTAATGGCCTAGCAGTTTCAAGATTGGGTTTCTTACTGCCTGGGGGGGATCCTTTGTTGGGAGGTGATTTGCTGGGCCTGATTGTTTCTTGTCTGGAATTTCCCAGACTATCTATACATAAAAGGTGCCAAGTCCCAAGTGGAGCAGGCCATCAATGTCCAAATGGTGAGTCAACACAAAGAGAAATCCCATTGAGACAATGGTTTCTGCTGTGGTCGGGATAAACAATAGAATCCCGGTCAATGAATGCATCCATGTATGCGTGTCTTTGTTGGATGGAGAATATATATTCCATCCATCCGTCCGGTGCATGGATTCCTGGACAAAGATGCTATAGCTCTTTCTTCCTTTCTTTGCTTGCCTGCCCCCCTCTTTCCTCGGTCTCTCCCCCTTTAAGAGCGCCGCATATTATTCGGATTGGCTGTAGCTATGCAGGTCTTTGCTCTCATCCTCTCTCTCTCCCTCCTCCTCCTTCCCCCCTTTTTTTCATCCTCTGTTGCTGTGCGGAGTTCAGCTCTGACACAGCATCAGCATCAGCAGCACCACCACCGGGGATAAAATGCCAGCAACAGATGCTGTCCAACCCGGCCGGCGTTCGTAAGACCACATTCAGAAAGCGGTCCCAAGAAGGACAAGATCAGAAAGTGGAAGAAGGAGAAAGAGGAAGAGGAGAGGAAGAAAGCAATATTTTTTCCTTTCCCTAGAAAGACAACAACTACAGGCATTCATTCATCCTTTCTTTCTCCCAGTATTATAGAAAGAATTTCAGCTTTCCGGCTTTCCAATTTTGCAGACTGTGCTGATTTTCCCTCTCCGGCCATGTCAAAGCAAGAGGCCAACAACAGCATGACAGACAAGGGAACCAACCTGCCCTGCAATGGAAGAGAAGAAAGCCCAATGGAATCTGTCGCTGGGAGAAGAGAGCAGAAAGTTGGACAGCGGCAGGAAATCGTCTGGAGGAACGTCATCCTTATGACCCTGCTCCATGTCGGGGCCGTGTATTCCCTATGCCTCATCCCCAAGGCCCATGTGTTGACTCTGATTTGGGGTAAGTTGGCTCCTCTCTGAATTTCCCCCTAAATAACTCACAAAAGGGGAGAAAAAAATGTATTGTCAAAGGCTTTCATGGCCGGAATCACTGGCTTGTTGTAGGTTTTTCTGGGCTATATGGCCATGTTCTAGAGGCACTTTCTCCTGACGTTTCGCCTGCATCTATGGCAAGCATCCTCAGAGGTAGTGAGAGGTACCTCTAAGAGCTTACTACCTCTGGGGATGCTTGCCATAGATGCAGGCAAAACATCAGGAGAAAATGCCTCTAGAACATGGCCATATAGCCCGGAAAAACCTACAACAACCCAAGACTATTTTTGTCTCCTTCTTTTCCACTATCCTTTCCCCATCCATCTCTTGACATGTATTAATTTCCGTCTGCATTTGTTTTGATTTTCCTTTTCAAAAATCAAGATATCCAGATCATTGTATTGTTTCATGGCCGGAATCACTGGGTTGCTGTGTGTTTTCCAGACTGTAGAAATAGCCCCAGCAACCGAGTTGTTGTGAGTTTTCCAGGCTGTATGGCCATGTTCCAGAAGCATTCTCTCCTGATGTTTCGCCTGCATCTATGGCAGGCTTCCTCAGAGGTTGTGACAAAGGATTCCCCCATGCAGGAAACAGCTAGGCTTTGACACTACAAGACCATTCAATGCTAATCAAGGTAAAATCAATTTAAACATTAAATGATTATAAGATGATCCTTCTTTGGAAGCTTTTAAACAGAGGCTGGATGGTCATCTGTCAGGGGTGATTTGAATGCAATATTCCTGCTTCTTGGAAGGGGGTTGGACTGGATGGCCCATGAGGTCTCTTCCAACTCTTTGATTCTATGATTCTATGTTAGAAGTCAAATAGTTTAATTAAAAAGAGATACTCTAAAACTTGAAAATCAGAACACAAATAAAGAGGAACACTCAAACAACAGAGGAATTCCTGACACAAAACAATCAGGGCCAGCTAATACCTCCCAATGAAGGATTCCCCCATACAGGAATCAGTCTTTGAAGCTGCAAGGCCATTCAATGCTAATCAAGGTGGCCAATTGCAACCTTCACACTTACCACAAGCAGACACAGAGGAATTCCTGACACAAAACAATCAGGTCCAGCTAATACCTCCCAATGAAGGATTCCCCCATGCAGGAATCAGTCTTTGAAGCTGCAAGGCCATTCAGTGCTAATTGCAACCTTCATATTTGCCTCAAGCAGACAAGAGTTCTTTCTCGCACCTTGGACATTATTCCACAGATATATAAACCCCATTTTCCTAGTTTCCAACACTCACAACCTCTGAAGATGTGTGTCATAGATGCAGGCGAAACATCAGGAGAAAATGCTTCCAGAACAGGGCCATACAGTCCGGAATACACACAACTATCCAGATCATTATTACTACTAGATTCAGTGTTTTCGAAGTTCTCGAAGGCTTTCATGGCCGGAATCACTGGGTTGTTGTAGGTTTTTTCGGGCTATATGGCCATGTTCTAGAGGCATTCTCTCCTGACGATTTGCCTGCATCTATGGCAACCATCCTTGCCATAGATGCAGGCGAAATGTCAGGAGAGAATGCCTCTAGAACATGGCAATATAGCCCGAAAAAACCTACAACAACCCAGTTTTCGAAGTTCTTCCAATTCTGTTGAAATGATGTTCTGTCTCCAAAGCTGCGCACAAGATCCAACGCAGGTTGATTGCTCTGGAATAAATATCCATGTTGTGCTTTTTAAATATTTCCTAATATCCATTTTTAATCTGTGTTATCTATGGAAAGAGGGGTGTAAATTCCTAGATTCTGATTCCAGAACGAAGGGAGGGAAAACTGTATCACCTTGACTGTTTAGACAAAAGGTAAACGCAATCTGCATTAGAGAGAGGACTTGTGAACGCCCACTTTGAGAGGGCTTGCGTGTAGGAGGCATATAGTATATCCCTTGCGTAGGAGATGCTTCATTTTTTCCCGGTTCTCACACAACTATTCCAAGAGGAGAATTGTTCAGTGGTGGGTGGATTTGTGTGCAAGTGAGTGGGAAAAATGATAATACACACCGTTGTGTTAAGGAAACAGATAGTCAGTTCAAAGAAATGTTCCTGGATTCATAATACATAGCAAGGGCAGGAAAGGATCCAATTTATGCAAAGGATAATAAAGATGACAGTGGGTTGTTGTAGGTTTTTCTGGGCTATATGGCCATGTTCTAGAAGCATTTTCTCCTGACGTTTCACCTGCATCTATGGCAAGCATCCTCAGAGGTAGTGAGGTCTGTTGGAAGTCCTCACTACCTCTGAGGATGCTTGCCATAGATGCAGGTGAAACGTCAGGAGAAAATGCCTCTAGAACATGGCCATATAGCCCGGAAAAACCTACAACAACCCAGTGATTCCGGCCATGAAAGCCTTCAACAATACAAAGATGACAGTGTTTCCCTTGTTTGCTATCCTAGATTACTGCCATAAAGTGACTTCCCTGTTTACTTTAGACTCACTTCTGGATGGAGAAGTAATCCTCTCACGGCACAGTCTCAGAATTGTATATTCAGATGCAAGTCCCATTGACGAAGGCTTTCATGGCTGGAATCACTGGGTTGTTGTGAGTTGTTGTGAGTTTTCCAGGCTGTATGGCCATGCTCCAGAAGAATTTTCTCCTGACGTTTTGCCTGCATCTGTGGCAAGCAACCTCTGAGGAGGCCTGCCATAGATGCAGGCGAAACGTCATGAGAGAATGCTTCTGGAACATCGCCATACAGTCCAGAAAATTCACAGCAACCCAAGTCCCATTGAATTCTTCAAGTTAAGAGATTAAAAGGTTGCAACCTTGGTTAAATAAATTTGGATAGATAACTAATCTGAACCTATAAGGAGCATAGTCGGGGTTACGCATTTTGCAGAATTGGTCCATAACTGCCCTAGAAAGGCCCCCCATTCATTTTCTATTATGCTCTGTTACATTTTCGTCCTCTTTTTTCGAAAAGCACTTTACTCCCTGCGTTATCATCTCCTCATTTCTGGTGTCAGTTGCATAAAAATACTGACAGCCAAGAGTTTTTCCATTTCAGCCACGGCGAACCTTGGAAGCCATGCTCCACATTGTGAATCCTATCCCTAGAGGTGACTTTCCCCTTTCTGCCTTGGCAGGGAAGAAAAGAGTGCCTTTCTGCCAAGCTGTGCCTCCTCCTCTTCCTCGCTGTCTCTGGCATTATTATGACTATTGCATTTTATTCATATAGTGCCGTGTAGGCTGACACAAGCCCCACTTAAGTTCCTGCCCCCAAGAAGCTTGCCAATTTGCCTTTAATAGTTCGATGGTAAGGGGAACAAAGGGAAAGATGGAGGCAAGGAAGGCAAGAGAATGGACACCTACACAGGCTTTGTTAAGAAAGGTTAAGCCACCGGGCTTTGCATGAAAGGTTTTAATAGAGAGAGGATATTGGACATATTGACCGGTAAATGACGGTTTTGCAATTTCTAGATATTGTTGTCATCAAACTGTAGAACAACTCAGTTTTATTTTGCATCCAACCGTAAAATCCTAGTGCGATGATATTGTGATTCTCGCCTGCTGCGTCTTTTTTATCTCATTGTTTTTATTGGTGTAATATGCACTTCTAGGTTGGTTTTAAGAGCTTCGAACTCTGGAGCAACCAGACCAGGAACTGTTTAGTTTGCTTGTTTGTTCTGCATGGGCGATCTCCCCTTTCCTCCTCTTTGCTGAAATGGTGTAAACTAGGGCTCACTTCCTGGAGGTTGAAAAGAAATACGAATCCATGAACGGTTGGAGTGTATTTAAGGGGAGTGGCACGACAGCAGGACATCGGTCCCTTTGCAGCTTTATTACCCAAGTCCTCAATCTGTTGTGAATGGATTTTATTCTGTCATCTTTGGCTGGATCTACACTGTCATATAATATAATTTGGAACTGCATTGTATGATCAATATAGAGCAGTGGGTTGTTGTAGGTTTTTTCGGGCTATATGGCCATGGTCTAGAGGCATTTTCTCCTGACGTTTTGCCTGCATCTATGGCAAGCATCCTCAGAGGTAGTGAGGATGCTTGCCATAGATGCAGGCGAAACGTCAGGAGAGAATGCCTCTAGACCCTGACCATATAGCCCGAAAAAACCTACAACCCAGTGATTCTGGTCATGAAAGCCTTCGACAATACAATGTAGAGCAGTGTTTATCAACCTGGGGGTTGGGACCCCCGGGGGGGGGGGTTGCGAGGGGGGTGTCAGAGGGGTCACCAAAGACCATCAGAAAACACATATTTCTGATGGTTTTAGGAACCCTTTTGGCAGAGAAGGCTGAAGATCTCTTTGCCTGCCCTTCTCTTCCTTTTTGGTGTTGGTGAACTACAACTCCCAGAATTCAAAAACAACCCCCCCCCCAAACCCCACCAGTATTCAGTGTTAGCCATGTAGGTAGTATGCCAAGTTTGGTGCAGATCCATTGTGGGCTGGGCTCAGAGTGCTCTTTGATTGTGGGTGAACTATAAATCCCAGCAACTACAACTCCCAAATTCCAAGCACTACTTCCCCCAAACTCCACCAGTGTTCACATTTGGGTATATTGAGGATCCGTGCCAAGTTTGGTCCAGATCCATCATTGTTTGAGTCTCTAGATGTAGGTGAACTACAACTCCAAAACTCAAGGTCAATGCCCACCAAGCCCTTCCAGTATTTTCTGTTGGTCATGGGAGTTCTGTGTGCCAAGTTTGGTTCAACTACATTGTTTGGGGGGGGGGGGGGTGTTCAGAATGCTCTTTGGTTGTAGGTTAACTATTAATCCCAGCAACTACAACTCCCAAATCACAAAATTAATCTCCCCCCACCCAACCTCAGCAGTATTCAAATTTGGGTGTAACAGGTATTTGTGCCAAATTTGGTCGAGTGAATGGAAATACATCCTGCATATGAAATATTTACATTACGATTCGCAACAGTAGCAAAATTACAGTTATGAAGTAGCAACGAACATAATTTTATGTTTGGGGGTCACCACAA